AAAAAAGGGAAACCCCCCCCCCCCCCCCCCCCGCTTAGCGTGTCGTGTTTTCCTTGAAAGGGTCTGTTTGTTTTGTTTTGTTGCGCGAGTGTGAGCGTTTCGCCTGCTGCCTCCTCCAACATGCCAGTTTTTGACCGGCTTGTCGTTGTCGATGATTCATCGCCTAAGAACTGCCCCCGCCAGCAGCAACCCAGCAGCAGCCTTCGCACGTCCGTTTTAAGAAAAGGTCGCCCCGGTGGTCTAGTTGGTATCCTCGAAAACTTCTAGAGGTCAGGTCAGGGGTTCGAATCCCGGCGTAAGCGAGCTTTTCTTGCAAAGTGAGTTTGTCTCTCGCTTCCGCTCCTGGCCAAGTGGATAGCGCTAGTTCGTGTGTACGTACACAGAGGGAAGAGAGTGCTGAACTCTTATCGCATTAAAAATCGAAGGCAAAGTACCGCAGGAGGGTAGGGGTAGGGAAGGGCCCTTCTGTGTGACCACGGGTTGGAGTAAACGGCACTAATGCTGTGAGCGCTGACTTGAAGTGAAGACAACCCGTTGCACGAAGCATGCAATCGGGCAAGTTGGGTTTAGGGTTAGGGTTAGGCTCTGCGTAGCTGCTTCCTGTTCTATTTCCTCGTAAACGTATTTTCTCGCACCGGCGATCCCGACAATCCTGCCTGGCCTGAGATCGTAGCGGTGCCTTGTCGGCCCCCTTTCCGACGGCCCGCCCACCTCTACCGAGTAGCCTTAACGAGGATACTAAGCTTGTTTTTGGTTGGGGGGTACCGGTTGGGGTTGGGGGGGTAGGGATAGGATACGAAACCCCCTCTCTATTTCGTAGATTGACAGTAACACCCGGCGAGGGCGGCCCCCTTCTCTGCGTTTCTCTCTGATCTTTTGTTAACGTTCCTCCCCCCCGCGTCTCCTGCCCCCCTGCGTTCCGATCGCTCTTCTTCCCGCAACCTTCTGAAGGGCACCCCGGCAGGCATCATCCTGCTCGTTCTCATCGTGCAGATGTGCGCCGCCGTGTGGTATACGGCCTCGTACATCCCGTACGGCCGGGCGATGATCAAGGGAACGTTGTGTCCGTGCCTCAAGGACCTTGAAAATCAAGATGGGTAGTAGTACATGCTGTACAGTAGTAATCCATTTAGTGACGAGGTGACGAAACCGTCAGTAGAGCTGTACAGCTTCTCTTTCTTTCCTTTCTTCTTTTGCTCTTTTGTTTTATTTTTTGCTTTTTTGGGGGATTTTTGTCTGTGCGTGGGGGTGGGGTAAGGTTCGGCAGGCTTTTTTTTTTTTTTTCGCTTTTTCTTCGGTGCTAGCTAGGGTTGCCGAGCACGCGGGACGATGGTACACAGCTTGATTGAGAGCAGCGTGTGCCCCTTCTATGGAGCGTAAGGCGCACAGAAGGCAGGCAGGAAGCAAACAGGCGGGCACGCTGCACAAGAGGCGTGCTTACACTGGCCCTCAGCTATCTAGCTAGCCGCGACAACACGGGTGCGCATGTTTGAATTGAATCACACTTTCACGAGACAAACCTTGGTCAAGCTTTTGGCTGGACTGGCGTGCACGAAGGCCGTAAATTTACGCTCTTCTACAACTTTTTCACGGACGGACGAAAAGTTGTGCACCTTTTACGACTTATTGGCCGTCCTTTTCGTCATGCGTCGAGGACCACAAGAGTGGTACTCCGCTGAATGCGTGTCAGGAAATAAATAATAAACACGGCGGGGTGGAAGTGGGCGTCGACCAATGAGCGACGCCTATTTCGCTGACTCTGTACCCCGCTCGCTCTTGTACTTGTCGCTTTTTACCAGGGTACATACATACCCTGTGTGTCGTTTACCCTAAAAAATATAGAGTCAAGGGGTATGGAAGGCCGGCCGGGGGTATTGGGGAGTGTTTTTGCCCTTCAAATACTAAACAAGTATGAAGTTTTCCTCTTGTTGAGCTTTTTTTCCTCTCTCTCCAAAACGACAAGTAAAGTTCTCGAGGGAGGAAGTAATGTCCGTCCGCCTTTTCCATCAACAGGCTTTTGACAAACTGGCTGTTTTCGAGCCCACTTCGCCGCGACAAAGAGGAAGGAAAGACTCGTTGCGCATTCGTTCCGTCCTCCTCTGGGTTGGTTGGGTAGGAACGACACATACAGTGCCCCCGGGTTGGTGGGTAGGAAGGACATACAATAATGCCCCCGTCATCTTTCTTTGCGTCCGGCGGTTTGTGTGTGTGTCGGGTTTCAAGAAGAGCGTCACCATGGACGGCGGACCGGACCACGCCTCGACACCTAAAAACGTCTTCGTCGTGTCAAATAACCAAATTCAGTCATTGTAATAAATTCGTTTTATTCTTTTTACATCTTCCTTCTCCCTTCCCCTCTTCTCGCCGTTCGTCGCGTAGCTTCCTAAACGACGCAAACTCCCACCGACTGTGTTCTGTCAGTAACCAAGACGGAAAAAGAAACAAAATGCCTGCCAACCAACCACGAAAAAAGGAAAAACAACCTCGACAACAACAAACACACGACCAACTGAACTAGATAGAAAGGATGGAACCTAAAGAATTGCCAGCTGTAACACACACATGACTACCACTACTTTCGTCCCTCTCTCAAGAGGGGGGGACAAGACAAATAACACGAAAACAACACTACCTATTGCCTACGGTGGACGGGGGGGGACTGCTTGATGAAACGGACGTACTCTCGTAGAAAGAGCACGACAAACGTAAGCTTGAGTCGAGCGCCCCCAATGAACGACGACGCTACGCGTACTCCGCTACCTCACCACCACCCAAGCCAACAAGAAAGGCAATTTAAGAACACACACACCTCGGACAATATCCAAGAAACCCCACACGCACACGGATGACACCATAAAACAGCCACAAGGTCTGAAGGCCAGGCAGCCTGGCAACCCCTCCCCAAGCACCCACGCAAGGGAAGCCATACCACAGACATGTACCAATGAAAGGATACGAAACAACGCGAAAGGTCTAGGTGTGTGTGTCTCGTGCAAACAACGCTTTTTACACAAATACTGGGAAGTAATCATCGCTCGTCACGGGATACGTAGTGGGAAGGTTAAGGTTGCGCTACGATCAAGCGCAAGGCACCTACCTGACCTGCCTGGACACCGACATAAACAGTACTGATCGATATCGATGTTGGCCAGCTAACCATCCAGCCGATAAGACTATTACTACCACCAGTACTACCACCGAACCGCAGTTGGTTTACCAAAATGACCAATCCGCCCAGCCAGCCAACCCTGCATACCACCCTTGGTGCTACCGTTGAAATTTGGTTACCGTGCCGAGAGATAACTCTTGTCGAACCACCGTGAAGGAAGCGAAACAAGATGATGCTCTCCTTGCTTCTCTCGCGAGGAACTCGTGGAAAAGCCGATCAACGTTCGGGTTGACATGAAAAAAAATGATCTCTCTTCTCTCTCTTATGCACTCGAGGCGCTGCACTCATGGTAGTCGGCAACGAGCGTTCGCAGGAGCTGCCGCTGCGAGTCCGGCATCCCTGCGATCGTCGTGGCCGGGTTCAGAGCCACCATCATCTCCTCCTCGTCCATTTCCCATCGGTCGGTCAGCACCTGTTTCGGTTGGGTAGGAGTGGGGGGAAGCGGGAGCTAAATAGTCAGCGAAGAGGGCGGCGCCGAGTAGTTTTTTTCTGTTCGGGACAAGGTCAACAACCCGATACGTAGACTATATCTCCCTGACTTTTCCGTATGTCTCTTGAAAACAGGAAGACCTCGGCGAAAACTACACCTTACACCATACCATGGTATTGTTGTTGTTGTTGTTGTTGTCTTCACCATATACCACTTCTTCACCCACCTTTACGTGGTCGGAGAGGACCGCGCCAGCCCTGGAGAACTTGCTCTCGCTGGCGATGAACAAGTCCGAAGCCGCGATGCACTCCAAAGACTGCGACGACTCCGGGGCGGTGCGCTCGTTCAGCAGGACAACGTGCTGGTACATCGCGTAGTAGGAGCAAGAGGAAACAGATGAGGCCGGCCGGGTGGGGGGGGATTCGTAAGCTTACGGTGTTATTAGAAAGCATTCACACAATCAAAGAGGCGACCCGTTCGAGTAAATACGTAAGCACAATACTGTACCACAGCAGTAGTAGTCGGAAGACTTGGGGGAAGAAGTCGAAGAAGTCTTCGATTCGAGTGTTTCGCGTTGTTTGTTTTGCCAAGAATATGGAGCCCTCAAAACTCTGGGTGAGTGGAGAGTCCGGAGTGTGGTGGCTATGACCTGCCACCGGAGGCTGGCTGTATCCTGTAGTGCGATTCGGTGACGAATGCCAAGCGTGACCGAGCAAACTCAGTCAAGCGAGGGTGGTGCGGAGGGTGGGCGAGCCTTCGTCGGCTCATTTTCCCAGTCTCCTACAAAATATGCATTTAGATAGATTCATCAAAAACCTTTCGCAGCTGTTGGGAATCAGAACAGTATCTACTATAAAATTAACGAACCCTTGGCAAGAACAGTGATCTTAAAATTATAGAGTACCAGTAGTTCCGAACCCTCCGGAAAAACAGAGTTCTATCAAGAGAAACGAACCCTTGGGGAAGAAACGAAGAACAACGAACCCTTGGAAGAACAGAGATCTATGCATATGCATATTATAGAAGAGTAACGAACCCTTGGCAAGAACAGTGATATGAAAATAATAGAAAATAATAGAGGAGCACCGAACCCTCCGGAAGAACAGAGTTGTGTAAGAAACGAACCCTTGGGGAAGAAAAGAGATCTGGAAGAACAAGAGATCTATAATAGAAGAGAAATGAACTGAAGAGCACTGGTAAAAGATGTAGATAAGAAGGCAATCGACACCACATACCTGGGAGCAGTGAAGGCCGAGATCATCGCAAGTCTCTCCGGCAACGTCCCAGTAGAGCGGAAGCCCCATCTCGTCGACCATGCCGCCCCACTGCCCCTCGCTGAAGATGGCCACGTCCACGTGGGCCCCCGGCTCGGCGACGGCGATGCTGTGCAGCGAGGCCTCCATCGCTCGGACGTAGTATTGGTGGGGCAGGCTCCTGTAGTGATTTGGGTTGCGTTGGTTGTTGTTTAGACGGACAAGGGGGGGGGGGGGAGGGGAGGAATAATAAAAAAGTGAGGTTTGTTGTCGAGCGCAGCTAGCAGGCAATGCAACAAGAATTTTAATTTTCCTCATTTCAACACTCGGAAGATGGGGGGCGTTCATCATGTCGAATGGGTGATGAGAGGTTGGTGGTGAATCCGAAGAACCGGCAAGTCAAAGGCGGGGGGCATGTCCGGCTTCTGAGCTGTTGTTGTAAGCGAGAACGACAGTTCGGTGGCCCCCCGTTAACTTGTCAACAGCTACCTTTCTATGCGATAGACAGATCCTGGAAACATACAAAAACTACGCAACTTTCTCGGGACGTTGTGCGTGCAACGGACGACCACCCGAGCACTGCTGTATAATCTTTTCGCTCAATGAAATAATTGTAGGGTCAACTGCTGCAAGTCGGGCCGGGCACCACAGAGGCTTTACCACGAGACCAAATGTAGTACATGGATGTTCTATCGATCAAGGAACCTTACCGAACCATGGACGTCCCGCCTTACGCATATGTATGTTCAACCTCTTCCAAAGATCCGCGGACGTGCCACAACAAAATGTGAAAAGATCGTATGATACAATACAGCAGTCTACGTCCCGCGACGGAAAGAAGCTTTGTCTTACCTGTGCAGAGGTGCAGCCCCTCGCAATCGCTTCGACAGGTCTACGGAAGACGGCGCCCGGTCCACGTGCACCGAGACCAGCCACGACTCGGAGTCGCGGCCGTCCTCGCCACCACCACCACCATGCTGCATCATGAACGAGTCCGGCAGCACTCCCGCGCACTGCTCTCGGTCTGGCGGCACGCCCAGCCCGCGTCTCCTCTCGATGCGCTCGGCGCAACGGTTCTGCTGCGCCTCCTTGCCGGCGGCAGCAGCGGCGGCTCGCACACCGCCGCCCGGGCTAGCAGCAGCGGTGGCAGCGCGGGTGCACAGGAGCACCGCGGAGGCGGTGGCCATCATGGCTACGAGGCGCACCGTGGTGGAGGACTGCTTCTTCTGTTGTTTGGGGTGGCCCTTGTTCCAAGAGGGTGACGGCGACGAGGCTGCCGGGTCGGAGGGCAGGGTACTCGGTGCTGGCCTTGCGGGCGCCGCCGCCGCCCCCGCTGCGGGGTCGTGGAAGAACCGGCCGTGGGAAGCTGAAGGGGCGGGCGTGGCGCTCTTCGTGTTGCTGCTGCTGCTGCTGCCGCCGCCGCCGCCGCTGGCGCCGAAGATTTCCTCCTTGTTGGTCGCCGAGCGGCTTCGGCGGTGTTGGCCCTTGGAAACTCGGGGAGAAAGGCCGTTAGGAGTCATCATGCTGCTGCTGGCTGCTGCTGGCTGCTGCTGTCTCTGCTGTCTCTCTCGTCCTCTTGCTTGTCTGTCTCTCTCGCACTCCGCGATCGCAGAAGGGTAAGGTTGAGGCTAGGGGTCGGCTGGAGTATGATCCTGGCTCTTGGTGGCTGGTTGAAGAGGAGTGAACGAAGGGGGGCGATGAGGCCGCGACGATAACGATCCTAAAAATACTCGACCGAAAGAAGATTTCTCGTTTTTGTTCTCGGGCCGAAAACCCGGGGTCACAGGAATTCAAACCTGACGTTTCACGTTTTGATTGGTCAGGCCCTTTCGTGCCGCATGGTCCATCTTCCCGTGTGCAAGTTTATGGTTTCCAAATCTTTATCTTCCTTTCTTTGGACAAATGTTGACTTTTTCGACCTTTTGGGCAGTCTGCCTCCCGATGAACGAATGCGAATCAGCTGTTCGACCTTTGAGAATAGTCACAGCTTTGGCTGAGATGTCTACAGATCGCCTATATGTTTCGCCAGGGCCCACGTTTGATTTTTTCAAGATGCGCAATTTTCGCGCAAGAGTTTTTCCAACACCACCAGCTTTTTTTGGACAGATCTTGGCTCAAGATTTATTTGCTCCGAGGTGGTCTTTGGGCCGAATCTTGCACAACATCTTGCTTGCTCTGCTGGAAAAAAATCAAACGTGGACCTTGGCGAAACAAATAGGCGGCCTGTATACATCTCAGGCAAAGCTGTGACTATTCTCAAAGGTCGAACAGCTGATTCCTGATTCGCATTCGTTCGGGAGGAAGACTGCCCAAAAGGTCGAAAAAGTAAGCATTTGTCCAAAGAAAGGAAGATGAAGATTTGGAAACCATAAACATGGGTCTAAACGGCTCTATATCTTCTAGACCGCCCCCGCCCCCTTTTCCTGTCAGCCCGAAGGCCGACGTGTCCTGTGACCCCCCTCCAGTGATGGACGAGCCGTCCTGATGGAGAAGGGGAGGAGCGCGACAACAGTAAATTGTACCCCCACAGTGCGACTATGGCGGTAAAACATGGAAACAGGAAGCGCGGTGGCGTGTGCACTTCTAAGAGTTAAGGAATAATAAAAACACACACAGAAAGACTAAAACCCATTCGAGATATATATACCCACAGTCGAACGGGATGTGGTGGAGTCTTTTCAGTGAGTGAAGGAAACCGGCTGGGTAGAGTTAAGGAATAATAAAAACACACACAGAAAGACTACCCATTCGAGATATACCCACAGTCGAACGGGATGTGGTGGAGTCTTTTCAGTGAGTGGAGGGAAACCGGCTGGGTACTGGACTTATTTCGAGTCTTTTTTAAGTCTACACTGATGATTTATACCAGTGATGCCAGCTGGTGCTAAGTACAAAAACATCTGTATAGGTAACTTACATTTTACAATACATCCCCTGTAGTTCTCTACTGGGTCAACGGCAAAATATCGGGGAGAAACCCTCCGTTGTGCCGTGTATAGAGTCTTATTATGTCCGGACATTCTTTCTTGCCGAGGGTGGATGGGTACCATACGGCAGTGTGGCCTGTGCCGCTGTTTGACGCTTGTGGGCAGCACCGCCTATCCACCCCTGCCGCAGGGAGAGCGGCTTCAACGTTCTCTCCCGTGCCCTTCATCCGCCATCTGCTTGGTGGATGTTACTTTTCCCTTTTCCCTTTTCTGCACAGCACCACGGCAAAACCCCCGCCCGCCTACATTGTACAGCGCAGCACACAGCACATGGAACCGTCAACTTCCCCAGCTGATCATTTTTTTTGGGGTTGGTTGTACCCAGTACCTGCTGTAGACGGCGGTGCAATAAGGAACGACGCCCCATGCACCCATGCATGAAGGATGCAACAAGTTGTCGCATGGGTTTTACAAAGCATGTTTTTATGCACACGGTTTAAACGGGACAGAAAATAGCGGCACCAACGGCGGTGGCCCCTTCCACGCCGTCTTGTACATCACTGGTGCAACCGCGTTTTTTTTGCCATGGGGTTTTTCGAATGACCCGAGCTTCGGCAACGAAAAACACACCTTTCTATTGTCTTCTTGCAGTGTTGTGGTCAAGCGAGATGGTAAAATAGATGGACGAAGGATGATTATGAGCTGGCCATTCCCCATTCGGTGACGATGTCGTGAGGTACACAAGAAGCACATATTTCCATCAGTCGTATCAATGCGTCCATCCCGGGGATATAGCGCTTGGTTGATGAGAACCCATTTCATTTCCATTCGACTCTAAGGGGTTTACGGCGTACATGTCCGACAGAGAGCCCTCTTGTTGTGTCAACGCAACACCCATTCAATTAAAACGCCAACATTCATTCGTCTAATAATATTATCGCCTGTGATGTGTGCACCGCATTTGAGTTCTGGACATGTACGTACTTACGCCAAAAATGTGCAAACGCATAGATAGCCAACGCAACGCCATATACCGGTATATCCCATAAACCCTCCTGCCCCCACCCGACGTGAGGAAAATACCTCCTACAGATGTAGCATAAGGCCTGATCATGAGACACAACAGCAGCAACAGCAACAAAAGTATGGCCTCGGTACGGTACATCAAATTGCTCACCGCCAGCCTAGCACATTTTTTTCATTTCCTTTTTGCTTCAGCTGGTACTCTTAGAGAGAGACAAAAAACTCAAGTGCCACAACACAACGCCGGTAAAAAAAAAAAGTTCACGTTGTTCACGTACACGACAAAAAAAAGTGGAGTGCACCCACACATACCCTTGTAAAAATACTGTAATCAACTCGCCCCCCTCACCATACATGGAGGAAAAAACGTTCAAAGGCCCTCGCTCCTGCAACGATGAATAAGAATACTTCCGACTGGGTCTGCAAGAGGAGGAGAAAAAGTTCTGAACGTCGAGTCTCGGGGCCGCGAGGTGACACACCATCTCGGCCATCTCCAGCGCTCAAGATTAGTCTACACAGCAACACAGCATTTTCAGTGCCAAAGGGTACACCATGTAGAGCCAGGCGAAATCCCCGGGGTCTTCAGCTATGCGTCCCCGCCCCCCGCGGCCCCTTCGCCCAGATTTGTCATTCTGGTGGCAAAGCGTCGATCCATTCTCCAACCCTATTTTATCGTGCACCCGACCCTTACGTTCTGCAACACATGACATGTCGCCGCAACGTTACCCCCATCGCAGGACCCATCTTTGGTGGTAACAGCACCACTGCCGGCAAACGAATGGCTGGCAGGATCAACAGCAGCCCCTTAACTGTGCATCGGGCGGTGCTTCCTGGGATCCGCGTTAGTCTCCTCGACAAAACCTCTCGATCTGCGGCAACAACAACAACAACAACAACCAACGATTGCCGTCTAAAAAATACTTCACCTGTACAACCACAACCCTCGCGTTAGCCCCTCCCCCTCTCCCCTTCTGTTTCCTCGTTACATCGTCATTAGTGTGTATCCTTGCCGCTGCTTCTCCTAGGACTCTGCCATACTCGTGCTTACAACCCCTCCATGTCGCCGACCGTGTTGCTCGCGTTATTTGATGATGTGCCGCCGGCCTGGTCATTGTTTCTCCTCCAAACTTCGCAGCCTCGCCTCCACCTCGGCCATTTTCTTCGCGTTCTTGGCCGTTTTCCTGAAAAAAAATAAATAATAATAACGAGAAAAAAAAACGGAAACAAATTACTTTTTGAAAAATACCAATGTACCATAGCGAGCTGAACGGGTACCAGCGACGATCGCATCACATTCATTCGCGCTCCATCGCTTGTACTGCACCGGCAACCGCGCTTCTGTAGCCCGGGATCAACAGCCGAGATACGAGGAATACCAGCCAGACAACACAACTAACACAAGAAAATACCGTAGGAAGGCACGACAGAATACAGAACCTGGGAGTCTAGAAGTTGAACATCAAAAAGGGACCAAAGCTAGCAACGTTTTGCGCAACAGGGGTCAGGTAAAAGACTCTTTGACACTAAAAGCTGGTACCATACATTGTCGATGTCGGGTCATGCTCATTCACAAAAGAAAATAAGAATCGAGCCTCTTGTAGAAAAATAGCTTCTTGGGGTGCCGGGGGGAGAGAGGAGCGGGGAACGACAACCCCAAGTCAACAGACAGCAGTGACGGCTGTGCTGACGTAGCGGGCGCACGTATTTGAAGGCACAAAAAAAGGATGGTGGAGGCTTGAACCCGACACGTAGAGACCACGGTCGCTTTGTCTCATTTCCCTTCGAGCATTGTTCGCTTCGGTCCTCGAGGAAACCGAAAACACAAACAAGTACCACAGAGGGGAGACGCGGATCAATATCTCATCTACATGCACCACCCAAAAGAAAACACACACACACACACACGCGCGCGCGCTCAAACACACAACACATTCGCGTATAAACACTTACCGGTCGATGTCCTGCAGAATCTCCGCCTTCCTCGCCTCTTCTGGCGACAACACGGGAGCGGATTCTTCGGGCGAAGCTGCTGCTGCTGCTGCTGCTGCCGCCGCCAGCGGCTGTGATGATGGTGTCGCCGCCGAGGTTGACAATGATGATGATGACGTCACCGGTGTTGTTGGTTCGTCGGAGAGCACCGCGTCGAGAGCAGCGGCCGCTACCTTGTTCTTCTCGCTCGTCGCCCTGAAAAATAGAGAAAAAAAAAACAGAATAAGGGTGTGTGTGTGTGTACTCATGTAACCGGAAAAGCGATACATATTCTGCGTTTATCCGGCCCAGGCTACGGTTCACACGGATGAACCCAGATCCTCGCGTCTACTGTGCCAAAACACGGGGGGGGGGGGGGGAGGCGTACTCGTGTTTCGCATGCCTTAGCTCTTAGACCGTTGACCACCACACATCCGCGAAAGGATGGAGCATTGTTCACACAGGGCAGTTGGCCGATGGCCGATAGTCACTCGTTCCTTCCTACTTTGCCAAAAGGGGGGGGGGGGTAGCGTAGCGAAGCAGGACATGAAGAGGAGAGAGCCAAGCAAAGAGGAGCGGAGGCAAGAAGGACAGCCAGCGCAAAAAATGTCCCTTCGCGATCTTAGCGGTGGAAATCAAAAGTACGTCCCATAGCAAACGGATGTCAAACACCGCTGCAGGTGGTTGTTGTCACGAAATAGAAGGTACGAGTGGCAGCGGTCTCTCACGTAATGTCCTCTCTCAGCGACTTGAGGTCGTTCATCCACACGCCTCCGGAATCGTCCTTCAAGGCCTTGGGGCCGATCGTCGCGCCCGACTCCAGCATGCGCTCCAAATCTGATCGCATTCCCCGCAAGCGACCGCAAGACACAACAGACACACGACGTCAGAATATTCGTGTCACGGCTGCGTGCTGCTGACCCTCGCCTTGTCAACAAAAGAGACGCCATGCTACCTAAAAATTCCAACAACATGCCTTCCAAAAAAATGTTGGGTTTTAGCAAGCAGCAGAATGTTGTGATCGCACAGCAGCTATTTTCGTGTGCAGTGTGTTCATCGTTGGCATCGTGAAAGTGCCCAAAAAAAATCAGGAGGAGGCTTGCCTCGACTGCGTTGCCTGGCAACAACGACGGGCGATCTCGCAGTCGAAAATCAACGTATGTCGGCGTGAGGCGCCAAACATTATTCGCCGTGCTTCGGGGGGTGCTACAGAGAGAGGTGCGGAGAGACGGTCGGGCTGCTGCTGCTGCTAGCTTCAGGAAGAGTGGTATCACTGATATTAATCATCAGCGTATAGACTTAAAAAAACTCAAAAATAAGTCCAGTACCCGGCCGGCTTTCCTCCACTCACTGAAAAGACTCCACCACATCCCGTTCGACTGTTGGAATATCTCGAACGGGTAGTCTTTCTGTTTGTGTATTTATTATTCCTTAGAGTGCCTGGTCACGAACGGCCTCGAAGCCTCTACACCGATACCAAGAGTCCGCCTGTGACACTACACAGCAGTAGCTTCATCGCACCCCTCCTCCGTCTCCAGCATTCGCCAAGTATGGACAACGTCAGCCTCTTCTGCCACTTTGCCTTAACCACCAACACTACTACCACTTCCACAAGCAACAACTGCCGCAGTATGGGATAATCCTCGTCGAAGGCACTCTCAGCAACAGCAACAGCAACGAACAACTACGCCAAAACCAACACTAGCACCAACCAATGTTCGGGCCAATGTCTCGACTGCAGGCAAACGGGTCAGAGTCTAAGCCAACAACAACTGATCACCCCTGTGATACGATGTTCGGAACTTACCCCGGATTACCTTCCGAACCTCACGAAAACAACATGCCACGGGTCAGGACGTTAAAGAGCACCTTCCGATCTTCATGGCAACAGCCCACATGCCACCTACAAGGGTACCGGTCGAATCACATGACCACAGCCACTCAAAGGCATGTAAGGGTACCTTCCAACCCTCACTAACATTAGGCCACATTCCACCGGTGAGTCCCAAGTCTAACTCACCCTCCACCCGACGCTGCAGGTCCAGCATGGCCGTGTCCTTCTCGGCCAGCTCTTGTTCTAACTCCAGGGTGGCCGCTCTTGTCGCAGACGCCCTCTCTCTCGCTGCCGCGCCGGCTGCTTCCTTCGCCCTGCGCTCTTGCTCCGAGCGATTCGTCTGGCTCATGCGTCGCACCAGCATGCTGCGCATCTCGTCCGCCGGTGATGCAGGCTGTACGTGAGAGGAGGAGGGGGGGGGGGGGGGGTCACACGACAAAACGTCAAAAACAGAAGTATATCGCACACGCTTGAAGCAATTTGCCGCTGTTACCCGCAGTGAGAGTGACGTCTGTTCACTGGTGTAGCCGGATATCGTGTACGACACAAACACAACCCCTGGACCGATTTTCAAAGCTCGATTACTCCACAACAAAGAAGATGCATAAATGAAAGAATACATATTCGGAAAGCTCTCGACGAGACGGCTTCAACGTCGCCGTTTTCAGCGCTGTGACTCTTTCTGCCAGTTGAGAAATCGGGCTTTGAAAATCGGTCCAGGGGATGTGTTATCTTGTGCGGTATGCGGTACATAGCACGGTCGACATGAAAAAAACAGCACACACACGCAAAAATTTGTCTTTTCATTCGGCAGCCAGTTAGCGCGGTCGGTGCTACTACTAAACACAAACACAAACACAAACACACACACACACACACACACACACACACAAGAGAAGAAGAGCGCGCGTGAGAGACAGCATGGGGTACGAGGTGAGCTACGCCTTATTATAGTGTCAATAGTAAACACTGCTGTAGGATAATGCCAAGGAAGCTCAACGCTTCAACAAAAAAATAAGGTACAATATGCAATACTTGTAGATTGCGAGGTGAACGAACGTGTGGTGGAGGGAGAGAGCTCGGCCGAGTGAGGCAAGGGGCGCGTACGCATACCTGTCGGCGAGCGCGCCTAACGTCTCCGGGCAGCTCCCTCTTCGCCAGCTCCGCTTCGACGATCGTCACGCACTCGCCGAGCTCCGCGCCGCTCTCGAGGGCGTTCACAAGCACCTCGTACGCTTCCTGCAGCAGCACAAGCAGCCGTTCGTTTATTTCATCCGCGGAAGAAGAAGAAGAAGAACAAGAACAAGAAGAAGAAGAACGACAAAACGACCAGTTACTACAGAAGAACAAGAACAAGGAAGAGCGGGACGGACAAGGACGGTGTTGGCATACAACCTGTGTTAGCCTACACAAGCTGATTTGTTGCAAAGAGAGGGATGGGCACGTGCACACCGGAACAACAACAACAACAACGTCAAAGACGGAGTTACCCCGCAGGTTGACCCTCACGCAGCTTGGACGTGGTCGCGGCCAGCTCACCCGAAAACTCATCTTCCAAGACGTAGAGGTGGATGTGGGATCTGTTCACCTGCCACGAAAAAACTCTTCGCCACAAACTGCTCTATGAACATATCCACATGTGCTCGTACCTTGTGCTCCTGGATAAGCAGCACCGCCTGCGTGGCCGCCCAGAGCGCCTGAGACTTGATCTGCTCCCGGTCGAACGGCGGCGCGATTGTGCTCAAGATGCCGATCATGACCCCCTCGTCTGCTGACCCTCCCTGCGGGTTGTCGTCGTTGTCGTCGTTGTCGCCGTTGTTGTTAGAACAACACGCGGGAGAGAGAGAACACATATAATACGTTCGTATGAGGATCGAAGCGGGTGTTATTTGCTGCTGCTGTGACGTGCTACTGCTGTTGCTCATGCTGTGATGTCGGGCGTAACGGCAGAGATCGCGGTCGACGTGTCATTGTTGCAGCTACGCCAGCACACGGAACCAACAAGCGAACCCGATTTTCTACCTCTCGAACACACGCGTATCAAATACAGCCTCACGAACGCATTCTTTGCCATCCATCAGCTATAAGCGGCCGGCCGCCGGTTGGCTAAACAAAAAAATAGCGCTCATTAGTCTTCAACAATCGTGCACGAAAACAACATCTGGAAAGGGGACTGCTACACCATACCAAGCATCATTTTTCCCTGTGTTGAGCTAGCTCTATATCTCTGTCCAAAAAAATCCAGAAACGGTTCTATCCCCGGCCTCCGCAGTCTCAATTAGTCTTCGCCTTGAGAGAGAGAGAGGCACGTGGCCAACGACGAACACCACCAGCGCAACAACACAAGACACGGAACACAATCTGGTCTACCGTATACGACACAAGATAAGACACCCCCTGGACCAATTTTCAAAGCTCCATTACTCTACGATGAAGGGAATGCCGTTATCAAAGTATAGGGTTAGGTTAGCTCTCGACCAGACGGCTTCAACGCCGCCGTTTTCGGCGCTGTGACTCTTTCTGCAGTTGATAAATCGAGCTTTGAAAATCGGTCCAGGGGGTATGTTATCTTGTGTCGTATACGGCACTCCATTCCTTCACCACACCTATCATAGGTTCTTTCAAAACGCCGCCGAACTGGAGTGCACCCGACAAAAAAAAAAAAAATGCGGCAAAATTGTGTTTCTTTAGCACGTTTTCTGCACCTCCGAGTTGCCGTAGTTGATCGCCTCGGCCGCAATGCCTCCCATGAGCACGATGGAGAACCTGTCGATCGACGACTTGGTGAGCTTTCCGTCCGCCATCTGCTTGGAGAGGACGGGGTCGGCGAAGACCGTGCCCCCCTGAGCGCCGGTCAGGCCGCTCCCCAACTGGTCAACCAGAAGCAGAGAGAGGGCGGCACAGAAGACCAACGATGACAACAGGAAAAAACAAAAAACAACCAATCACACCGTCAGCAACGCCATCAGCAACATCATCACCTTCAACAACAATAGCAGCAGCAACAGCAACAGCAACAACACCACCCACAACATCATCGCCATCGTCAGCAATATCATCATCACCACCGCCAGTAAGATCAACAACACCACCCACAACAACAGCAGCAGCAACATCATCATCATCATCAACAACAACAAAACCACAACAACAGCAAAATCGACGCCAACAACACAGAACAGAAGCAGCACCACCAACTCACAACGAACGGATCAAGCAGGCACGCCTGCACGGGGCAGCCGAGGAGGTAGGCCACAAGGAAGTGCCCGGCCTCGTGGCGGATTATCCTCTCCCGGTAGGCGGGCACGATCAAGCGCGTCAGAGACTCTGACAAGGCCCCGTTCAGCAGCAGCCTGTCCGCGAAGATAAGACCTGAAGAACGGGCAAAGCGGGGTGCGATGAGAAATGTTGGTTCGCCACGGCAGAAAGCGACAACAGCAGGACAGCCAACAGCGTCGACGACAACGGGGGCGACGAATCATGGGTGGGAAGGAGTGCACGTAGATCGGCCGTTTACAGCCGGTCGGCGCTGTGTTTCTGACCACCCCAGCCCCGCAATATCGCAAAACGTGAGCCCAATCATTCGGGCGAGTTGCGACAGGGATGCGCCTGCGTGCTTGATGCTGCCCTGCAAGGATGAAACATGTGTACTCAAGATCAGAGGAGCATGCTGCCTCGTCGTCGTCGTAGCTTCTGAATGGCCTCGAACCCTGCAACTCCAACCCCGATCGTCCCCTAAACCCACCACCAACTGAATGTGAGAAGAGGAGCGAACTAGTCTTAGGGTTAGGCTTTATCTACCGTACCACTTACAAAACAAAGTAACTCGTTTGTCGAAGTTCACGTCTCGCAAACACCGGCATCGCAGAACCAGCGACCTCCGTCCACCTTTCCCCAACGCATGTACAGTTCCTGACATCTCCCCTGCGGTATCGCAAAACTTGTCTATTGCTGAGATGATCGGTCTCACCTAACGTCCAGGGGATGACGGTCTGCAAAGGGTCCAGGCCCATCAAAATGCCCGCCAGGTACTCCGCTCCAAACACCCCGACCCCCTGCGGAGCAAAAGAAGAAACAAAAAATGCAGGTCGGTCGGTCGGTCGGTCTACCGTGGAAACGAACGGGCATCTCCCGTGCGGCCAGTAGCCAGAACATGGCCCGACTTTCTTGCACAATTCAAAGGCATGCCACCAGCGACAAAGCCGGGAGGTAGGTAGGTAGTTCCCTCATGCGGTTGGGGGTGTGTGCGCAATCTAAGCGGGGGATTCCCTCCCCCCCCCGCGGTCTTTTGGTTTTCGACACGCACGAAGAACATCGGACCTCTACCCAGGAACACGCCAGGGGGAGATGCACAATCCGTCGGCGACGGCCTATTGCAGCAACAAGGAGAGAGAGAGAGAGAGAGAGAGAGAGAGAGAGAGAGAGAGAGAGAGAGGATCGTTGCCCCCCATCGCTTTGCAGGGGAACAAGACCACACGATACGGACAGCAACCATGGTCGCCTCGAGCGCGCTTGATGAAACCCGAGCTAGAAGCTCCAGCATACCGCTGACAGCAACGAGCCAATCAGCGCGATGCTCCGTCACACGCGAGAATAATGACAAGGGCAACCGCAACAACATCTCCCACCCCCACCGCCACCGCCACCGCCACCGCCACCGCCAACAACAACAACAACAACAACAATCGCCACCGCCACCGCCACCAACAACAACAATCGCCACCACCACACAACAACAATCGCCACCGCCACCGCCACCGCCACCAACAACAACAATCGCCACCACCACAACAACAATCGCAACTACCACCACAACAAAACAACAACAACGACAACATCATCAGGTTGCGCCTTATCTCATCGCCGCCAGCCAGGACAACACCACCATCACCACCAACAACAACAACAGCAACAGCAACCACAACCACAACAGCAGCAGCAGCAACAACAACAACAGCACCGCGTTGACCCTGGTGGTCTCACCGCCGCCAGCCAAGACCCCGTCGGCCTCCCCGGTGCCAGGTTCTGCTTCTCCACGCCCGACAGCGACAGAAGCTTCTCGGCGGACACGTCCCGGCTCTGGGAGGAGGGACCCTTCGAAAAGTCGATGGAGCCGAAGCCCCGAAGCAGACCGGCCGCCTGACGACAAAAACACGCAAAAACACACAAGATACTTTCAGTCTCATTGGTCAATACCCGTGGGCGGGGCGGAACTTTCCTTTACCCGCCACCTCGGAGTCTCATTGGCCAATATCCGTGGGCGGAACTGTCAATCGTTACTCCCCAACTCGGAGTCTCATTGGCCAATACTCGCGGGCGGAACTTTCATCTGTTACCCCCCACCTCGGAGTCGGGCCAAGTAGAAGGAAGGTACAGGGAGATGTTTGAGGGATGGGATAGCCAGGATAAGACGGTAGCTTTGCTGGGGCATAGCAAGTAGGTTGAAAGGGATATCGATAGGATAGATAGACTAGGGAAGACGTTTCTGAGTCACCTTTGGCAAAGTAGGAAGGAAAGATTGGCCATCGGCAATCGGTCCTGTGGGAACAATGCTCCGTCCTCTCGAGGACGCGTGGTCAACGGCCTAACCGCTAAGGCATGCAAAACAAAACAGTAAGCCCCCACCTCGGAGTCTCATTGACCGATACCAGTGGGCGGAATTTCCATCCGTTACTCCCCACCTCGGTCTTAAATGAGCTACAGACGTAAAAAAAATCGTGGCGTCTCGAGTACGGTTCGGTGGGGAATCGCAATACTTGTGAAAGGACCAGAACGAAACGTCGGGGTTGTTTGGGGCGGGGATGGGGGGACGATGTTTGGCATGCCTTTAGTTGTTAGACCACGCGTCCTCGAACGGACGACGGACCATTGTGGGGTGGAGGGGGGGGGGGGTATATTGGCGACATCTACGGCAAAAAAACTGTCGTGAAGCCTTTTCAGCAGGCGGGCCGGGCCGCCTGGCAACGAAAACAACCGGCGTAGCAAGACGACTACATACCTCCACACACAAACACACACGCACGACTCAGAAAAGACGAGAGCAAGGGCGGCAAGAAAACGACAGCCCGAAGGTTGAAAACAGAATAAATGGGAGGACTGGACGTGGAGGGTTGCGTGTGCATCCACCCAAACGTCGGTGGCAAAAATCGTAACAACGATACGCCGGTGTGAAGGTATCGGTACGACGGACTGCTGCGGCAGACAGCAGCAAAATTCGAGCAATTGAGTGCCATATGTAAACACGTCACACACACAACATTCCAAATATTGAGGGAAAAAATTAACCTTTGTACCACGGAACGGTGGAATGGTACGGTAGAGGAGGGGGTGGATAGCAAGCAGAACATATCCGAACTGTTCGACCAACAACAGCAGTGTTCAGCAACAACCATGAGCAGCATCCACGGCAAGCGATAACTACGCAGCAGCAGCAGCAACAACAACAACAACAACAACAACAACAACAACGAAAAGAAGAAGAGGCACAACAAGAACAACAAGAACAACAGCAACAGCAACACATACCTTCAGGGCGTTGTAGGTGTTGGTGAGGTTGTCGTGGGGGTTTTCCTTCTTCAGATCGAGCTTGAGTTCGCCGGACATGACGTTGAGCAGCTGAGGAAAGGAAGGCAATTTCAAGCAGCGAAAAGCAACCGGCCATTCACATCCAACACGAACACAAAACCGAACCGAGCACGGTACGTTAGTAAGCCCAAAACCTAAACTTTTCATCTCGCTTCTCGGGCTAAGGTCAACGTTGAACATGCCTCTGATTTGCCCAAGAAGGATGAGCATAACTAAAAAAGCTTCCTTTACGAATGCATGGTACATGTTATGAGAAGCACATGACGCCCAAAACAAAATGTCCCACCATCCTGCCCCTTGGACGAAACGTTCTGAGAAGCACATCACGCCCGACACAAAAACGTCCCGCAATCCTGAACATTGTACGAAACGAAAGCAACGCTTGTTTCCTGCAACGCCTGCGGAGCCAGTGAGCGTTTGTCGTTGGGTTTGTCGTCCGCAAGACTACTCCACCAATCAGATCGAATAATTCATCAAATGACGCTCGATTCGGATGGAAAAGGTACATAGTGCCTCCACGAAGGCTACAGATTTTCATTGCTATTTTATCACAATAGACCCTTTGCCTGTGGATAGAGATGGATGATTCGTTGGGCTATGTTAGGAGCAAGATAAAACATTCTTTGTCTCACCTTGCTCGCCTCTGCCATGCCGATCTCCAGCTTGCTGCCGGACCGTCGTAGGAGGTTGAGGCACTCCTGGGAAAAAACGAAACAAAACACGCTATCAGCAAGTACTGTATAGTGGGAGAGGAGGGCGAATGCTCTCCGAGAAAAAAAGATAAGAGCTCACCGTTAGGGTCACTTCAAGGTACTGCTGTATGTCTACGGAGGGGGTGAGGCTTTGTCACGCCAACGGTCATGGTCGATACGATAAGTCGATACGATCTATGTCGAAATAATATCCGATGCGATATCCAAAAACAATTGCCAGGCTTGTTACAAAGTACCCGCCTCAAGCAACTCGCATCATTGCATTGCCAAGAGCACTACAAATGTAGTACTGCCTGGGACAAGACCGGTATATTGTCTGCTCACATACAATATACACAGACCGAAAGCAATGATCTCGGGGGGAAAAATATATATATTTAGAAACCCATACAATACGCTTTGGAGAGGGGGGGGGGAGGGGGGGGAGGAGGTTCAAATTCAGCAATCTACTGCTGTGCTGTGCATTCAAAGGAGCGGAGCAAGATTTGAGCCACTCGAATACCAATCAATCGTTCTAAAACGTGTACAAAGTAGGTACTGACGATTCCATCCGATGCAGCGCATCAAAAGTGGAACGAGCGATGCTTCGAAGCTTCAAGTACAGTACTGGGCCCGCCATAGTGCCGGTATGTGCCCAGAGATAATATCGGCACTATTGAGGGCACCGGCACTAATCAGAATAGTGCCTCAATAGTGCCGATTCGGCACTATTGAGGTTTCGAATATCCCTCAATAGTGCCGGTAATAGTGCCGGTCCGGCACTATTGAGGAGATGTTTGATTTCATGCTGTGGCGCTCATGCGTTGCGGCGCTAACAGAGTACGAAATGGATCAAACTTGGTGAAGGTCTACTTGTATCGTGGGCGTAGGCATCCTTTCTCGCGACAAGTATGGTTACCCCTGTCGCACACACAGAGGGCGAGTTGTAAAAAATATTACTTGCATGTTGCCGTTATTTTCTGCCTGCCTCAGCACATGAACTGTACTGCACACCCTGAACTGTCGAAACTGCTGTTGACGGCAAGATGCTTGTAAAGCTCCCGTTCGTACAGAGTGGACGAAGCTAATCTCAGCCCTAGAGCCCCTCCTTCGATGTTGCAAGATACAAAAGACAAGACAGAACAAGAAACACGACAGGAAGCGCACTGCAAGAAAACAAACAATCAATACTACTGCACTACAGTTGTATCTCCCCCCCCTCACTACGTCGCGACACTGGAGTATCTGCCTGGCGTACCCGCTTCGATGTTGCAAGAACAAAAAAAAAAAAACTACAAGTACACGACAGGAAGCGAACCGCAAGAAAAAGAAACAACCATGAACTCTACGTCGCGACAAATTCTCTCATATCTGCCTGGCGCACCCGCCTAGCGGAATGCGCTGCGATCATCGACATCTTCGCTTTCGTTTGGTAGAACGCCGCGTCTCCGTTGCCACTGTCCTCTGCTGCCGCTTCTGGGGCGCCGAAGTGAGACGACAGTTCTTCATAACCCGGTGGCGCACGTGGGGCACGGCGCTCGCGCCCCGTGTTCTCACCGCCGCCGCCCTGGTCCTTGTCGACGCTACCAGCCTCGCCATGAAGTCTCACGCTCTGGATCTTGTTGCGCTTCACGAAGTTCTTCGCCCACCTCTCGCCGGCCTTGAAGTCCTCCACCCTCTCCCTCACTGCTGCAGAAGTTGCGGTGTCAGCCAGCAGGGTTGCCCTGGCAGAACGGCCGAAGCTTCGAAGGATATCGCGTGTGACGGGCATCTTGGCCTTCCGGGCTTTGTCGAGTAGATCAAGAGCTATCTCATCCATCTGCCGCCAAAAAAACAGTAAACAACGCAGAGAGTGCAAAAGATCGAACGGTTAGTTTCGAACGTAAGCATGCTAACCTACACTGCGCGGCGCGGGCAGGCGGACGACGCGTACCCTGTTACACTAAGCTCACACGTTCGAGTATTGTTCCCAATTGTGCACTAGTGTGACGAACACTTGGGACAAAAATGCGGCAGGTACAAACAAGAAGCGCTGCCGTGTTGCAGTAATTTACTGGTTTGAAATTGATTGAAAAGAGGGTGTGTGCGAGAGCACAAGGAACGAATGAACGATGAAAGCGGAGGTGAAAGAAGAAAAACGAGAGACAAAAAAAAGGAAAGAAAAAAGCCGAAAAAAGACAACAAAAAGGAGAAAGAAAGACGAAAAAAAAACGAAAAAAAAATTGGACATCCAGCAGCGAACGAACCAGGCTCCAAAAAAAAAGGGCCCGCAAAAAAAATGGCGGGGGAAGCAACCCAAGGTCACAGCATTGCATGTAGCGCACCTCCGGAAAATCTCCTTTGCGTGCAGTTTTCTGGCTGCCGCAGCCTGCAGCAGTTGCTGTCTCCACCTTCTGCCGGCCAGCCTTCACGGTCCCAATAAATCGAAGCGAGCACTTGAAGCGGTCTGCAATCTGTGCGTGAGACACCTTCTGATCCAGCATCTTCAGAATCTCGAGCTTCTTGTTGTTGTCAGGCCGCGCACGAGAACCCGTTCCCTTCTTGCTTCCCCCGCTCGTCTGCTTCTGGCGTTTAGATGGTCCCGCCCCAGCACCCTTAGCTGGTGTCGCTTTGCGCTTGCTAGTCCTGGCGACACACGTGCTGCAGATGCGGTGCTGCTCGTTGTCCTCAAACACGCTGCCGCAATTGCCGTGGAGCCGCCCGCCACATCCTCCCTTGCAGGGGTGGCCATGAGGGGGTTGCGGCGTCCTGTTTTGTTGAAGGCACAGTTCACCTTCCGCACAAGGCATGGCGACCTCACCCGGGAGATCAGCTACAGGAGCAGAGGAGCGTGGGCGTGCCTCAGGCGATATGGCCAGGAGCTCTTCGACAGACCGAAAGCGCCATTCCGACTCAAGATCCGCCTCCTCCAGGCGGAGGCGTTGGAGGCACTGCTGTACGGCTGCATGACATGGTCACCACTCAGTGGCCACTATCAGACGCTGCGGTCGACGCACCACCGACTGCTCCTTCGAGTTTCGGGTACAAGCGCAAGAAAGACACCTACCGGCAGCTCTCTTACGCCCAGACGCTGAAGAGGGTCGAATGCCAGAGCGTTGAAGCCACGATCCGACAACGACGCCTACTGTTCGCGGGAGCACTGGCAAGACAGCCGGACGGGCGACTCCCGAAACGACTGATGCTCGGCGAGCTGGCGGGGGGGGAGAAGCCACGTAGGGGGGGACAGGAACAGAACTGGCCGAAGTGTGTGCTCGACGACCTGAAGGCATTCGGGGCCGACCAGGGATCTACGAAAACCAATCCATGTTGTCTCGGAATTCCCGTACCGAAAGACACGGCACCGAAGTCAAGGTGGACGGAAGCCGCGAAGGTGGAGGGGGGAGTACCCTGGCATGCGGCGGTGCTGCAGGGAGCTGAGAGGTTCATGACCTCCTGGCACCAGAAGGAACAAGAGGCCAGCCGAAAACGAGCGCTCAAACGAAACCACAAGCCAACAACCAATGGGGCGGGAGGGGGGCAGGAGACGGACGAGACGGCGAGGGAAGAAAGCAAACGAGAAGAGACGGGCCGAGTGGCACGATACGTGCCGGATTGAATTTCTTTTAGCCAATTCCCCCCCCCCCGACGCTGCACCATTGCACCAACCCCCCACTAGTGATGACGTACCATTCGCTGGTTGGTGGCCATGTTTGCGTGTTTGCTTGTTCGTTAGTGGTCTCTCCACCGTGTGCCTTGTTCTGCCTCTTCTTGTTATTTTCGGCCTGGTCCCTTTTTGTCCTCGCTCTTTTTCATTTTATTTTCATTTTATTTTCATTTTATTTTATTTTCTTCTTACTGCTGTTTCCATTTTATATATTTTTCTCTCTTTTTCTGTGCCAGATGGCCTTGTCTCTGCTTGCGTTGTGAAGTACCAAGATTGAACCACGGGGGTGTACCTCTTTCTCTCCGGCCCATGATAGATAGTGACTCCTAGTCTCAGTTGATACCTCGCATAGCGCGCAGAGGGAGTGGAGGATTCCAGAATAATATCTGTCGTTGATTTCTATTGACTTGCGGACCCCTCGGGGCCAGTTTATTTGAGTGTACCTTTTTAGGGTAAGTTAACCTGTGACCACGGGAATCGACCGCGTCGAGTGTTGGATCAATACGGACATACGAAGGTACTGGGTAGAGAGAGATCGGAACGGTTTTTAATGTGAAGACAACAACAACAACAACAATGGTTCGCCTCTGCGTAGGACTCTTCGGGTCTGCAGCAGCACGTGTACCCTCTGTGTTGCGTGTGTCCGCTGTCTTGTGTGTGTGTGTGTGTGTGTGTGTGTGTGAACGGGCACTATTGCGGGGCGCCGTGGTGCCCAATCGGCACTGTAGAGGGGCCGCCTTCAATAGTGCCGATTCGGCACTATTGAAGGCGCTTTCTGTGTCCGGAGATTTTACCGGCACTATACCGGGCATCGGCACTATTCAATCGGCACTATCGCGGGCCCAGTACTGTATTGCATAGCTGGATGTATTATAATTCGAAGGCCCGCCTCGGAAGTACTTCGTATCTCAAAAATAATATCTTTCGCGAATGTCCGTGGCTTCAATAAAGGTTACGTTCCCCACCGCTCAACTTCTCTACATGTTTCTTCCTGCTGTAGGTAGTACTTCGTACGGAGGATACGTTACCTCGGTGTTGCCCTTCTCCAGGATGTCGTCGAAGGCTTTCTTGGACGCCGCGGCTGTTTCATCCTCCGTGTTTCCGAGAGACGAGCACACCCGCCCAGCCGACCTCCTCCCCGCAGACGACACGCCTGCCATCGCCGACAGAGAGAGAGAGAGACAAAGAGAGCACCAAGGTATACAGCACGTTCATTATCGATGCTGGCGGTGCTGCCGAAAGAGTGGCGACGAGGTACAAGAATCAAGCGCGACCGACTTTGTCGACCAATAACGCCAAGCTTGGCATGCGATGAGTTGCGCAGCAAGTATTTGTACAGCGGTTGTTCATCCTCCATCTTGTAGTAAATTGGCCTGCTGTTGACCGGGGAGGGCTTGTGTGCAATAGACGGGCGCCTCTCGGATATCTTGCTTTTCCCGTTCATAACAAACAACTTTTCGGCTTTTCTTGGCGCGAACTCTCAAAATTTTCTCCGTGGTGTGTCGTGGAGATTGCGGTCGGGAGTGTTTTTATACCTGTTGTTGAGTTTCTCCCGCTTGTATGTCGTAGGGGAAAGCGCATTCTACTATTGTACTATAAATAAGGTAGTGTGTGCGTCGTGCTGTACCCGTTCCCCGCCCCCTGATGCTTATCCATTGCTCGGTATTGACGGTGGTGTAAAGCAGTATATACAGCAGCAGTACCGTCATTATTTAGTCGTATGTGTGTCTCCGCAAAAGATCACTTGTATGCCCGCAACACAAATAATGCTTGTGCTGTAGAGAGAAAAGAGAAGCGGGTTTGGGCCGGTGGGCCGCATCGGGTGTGTTGTGCTGATGTAGGTCAGGAGGTCAGAACAGATGCTCGTTCATATTTAGCACACATAGTCCGCAAGGCGCAAACTATCGAAAGGGCAGCAAACAGCAGTAGAAACATGCCGTGCGGGGGGGCCGGGTTAGCGACCTCCAGGGGTTGAAGGAGGGAATCTGGTCGCTATTTCTCCCTGGGGCTGATCGCTTACAACGATACCCAGATATGGCGACGTCATACAATCATGCCTTTACAGTCTGTTGTCGCTGCAAGAAATACAACGATCGCCGCATCCAAGCCCGTGATGCTTCGAGGGATTTACTTACTGCGAGGTCTGTATCAGCATGGTGATGGTGCGCAATGTACCGCGAAAACGTGCATCTAGCCGCTGCATTCTATGTAGATACGCGTTGTAGAAGATTGCTTCTTTCCCGGGTGAACCTCCTATGGTTCAAGCTGACCTGGGGGAAAGCCAGCACGCCGACGGTGATCCCATCTCTGGTCCTCGCGGTGTTGGCGTCCACGCTGCCCCAGACTTCTCGGCGCAGACGGCAGCACGAAGGCATCCGCTCCCCCGCCGCCACTCCACCTGCTGTTGCTGCTGCAGCTGCTGCCCACGAGAAATCCTATCGCCATGGTCGTCGTCGTTGCCGACAGCCTTGATCTCTTGCTGCCGCTGACATGCCGCCTCCCGCTGTGCAGATGTGGCAGTGCATTCATGTTTTTCCCAGCAATGCGTGAACCGCGTGCGGTTGCAGGCCCTTTATCGGTTTAGATGGTGCAACTGGGTTCGAGGGAATGGTACGTGATGTGATGGATGTGCCGATGCACAAGCAGGGTGTGTTGATCTGCCGCCTGACGCTGCTTACTTGTGCTGACTACCAGTTTGGGGCTCTGCTCTGACAGCGGCGGTGTCTGATGATGCTCTCCGTCAACAGCAGGCCAAAAAAAAAATGAGGTCTGCATCATTATCTACGGGCTACGGGCCCCCCTAGTGCACTATCTGCGACCCCCCCGCTGGTGCGCCAACAGTTGGCGCAAGCCAAGAGGGCAACCGCACCGACTCCGATACACGCACCGCCGCCTGGGGAGCGCGCCGCAGCAAACATGGCGATGCGAGGGGTGGGAAAGACAACTCGTTCGACCTACAATGCGGGTGAGATGACAATTCTAGTACAAACTTTTGGGCAGTGAAGATATTTTTCTGTCCTACAGCGAGGGCAGTACTGCACGCCATCCCAGCCTACAGCGAGGGCAGTACTGCACGCCATCCCGGTCTTTGACAAGAGGGTACAGCAGTAACAGCAGTACTGCTGTTGTTCGTTGTACAACCCACGCAAAAGACGTGTATCTAAAGGTGCTGCAGATGAAGGATGTCCATCCTGCTTCCCTCCTCCTTGCTCTGAAAGCTGTGCAAATGCAGTAGAGAAAGCCAACAACAAGATGCACCTGTGTGCCAAGTTCAGAGGGCGCCCCAACACAAGCCCCCATGCCTGCTCCTGTACATAAGGTAAACATACTCCGGTACGTGTCCAGGGCACCTTCGTATCGGTGAGGGGGCATGTGATCAGGCCCCTTTTAAGCCCGACCAGTTGCTAAAAAAAATAATTAATTGCATCCGTCGTGTGGCGACATCAACCAATGCGGTGGGTTGGTGGGCTCTAGCTCCCAACAGGCCGGCAACAACGACTGCTGTTGCTGAATTGCTCGGCAAGAGGCGCGTGCTATCAAGTCATGCTTGCCGCAGACACGGCACTAAATAGTGCCGGACGAGGAGAACAGTACATTGATCCTGCCTCTGTGCTAGTAGTGCTTGCTTACCCCTGCTGTGTAATGGCAACACCGCCAGCAGCCGTAAAAGTCTTGCTTGACTTTGTTCCCGCTCCATAACGACCTTGGAACTGCTACACTACTTGTGCGTTTTATCGGTGTACTGCTGTACCATCACACCGTACAGCGGTAGATTTGACAAGTCGTAAGTAGTGTTTTCTTCTTAGTAATCCGCGCGGGGTTTGCACCCATCAGCGGAAACGCCACGCAAAGAGTAATTTCCGTGTTTTTTAGTCAAGACGTTGGCGGAGACAAATCTATGTCGCCACGACACTTTGTACTCGTCTCCTGACACCGTAGCACGAATCCTCTATTTAGTGTTTCTCTCATTTGCTTCGAAACCCTACTAGCAGAAATCAACTCCCCCCATACAGCCCCACCATCACGATGCATTCACGACAATACCATGCTACAAAAGAACTTGGCAGCATAGTCTATGGCATACTAATCATATCCTGCACGCGCAGCAGCGAGTCACCCCCCCCCCCCCCCCCGGAAAAAAAAACAGGGGCCCCCTCCAAATACCTCCCCCGGCTCGGCCCCGGGGGCCTTGGGTTTACCCCCCGGGCCGAAATCGGGCCCGCCCGCACCCCTCTCGCCCAAACGGGGGGCGCCGGGCCGCCCGGGGCCCCCGGGGCCTCTTCCGGGGCTGGGAAAAAACCGGAATTCGGGGCGGGGCCCGTGGGGGACCTGGCCCGGGGTGGGCGCGGGAAGGGGGAACCCCCCCAATCTAACAACCAAGGCGGGGCGGGGCGGGGGAAGGGTGGGGGAAGGGGAAGGGCTAGCACGGGTTGGGGAG